GAAAGTCAAAATAAACTCTACCACAACCAACAGAGCCACAGACAGACAGACAAACAGTCTTGAGAAGAAATTACGATACAAACACACTGATCCTTTTTTTTTAATAATAGATTTATTTTTCAAAAATAAATGATATCAAGTAAAACAATAACTAGTGTTCGCCCAATAAACGAAATTGTCAAAGCATTTTAGATATATTTTATAAATAACAATCTATCTTTTATTTTGCTATTGACAAACGTATGTAATCAGAACTGAAAATTTTAGCCAACTAGTGGGCTTTCTTATAAAGCTACTAGCTGACCCGGCAAACTTCGTAGTGCCTCAATCGATAAATAAAAGACCTAAACTTTTGTGTAAAATAAACTTAAAACAAACAAAAGGAATCGTCCGATGGGGGACATATCAAAGGAAAAACAAAATTGTTATTTTTATTTAATTCTGAGCATTTTTATAAGTATTTATTTTCCTTTTAAACCTTTTCTGGACTTCCACAAATAATTCAAGACCAAAATTAGATAAATCGGTCCAGCCGTTCTCGAGTTTTAGCGAGACTAACGAACAGCAATACATTTATATATATAGATGAGAGAGATTAATGAATGTAAATTAAAATACTTCCCAAAGTATCAAGGATCTAGTGCTACTCTGCCCGCGGTTTTGCGCGCGTGAAATGTAACTTGCCTAAGATGACATTTTATCCAAATCCGTTCAAGGGATTATGCTTGATTGCGCAATTGATAAAGCCATTGCTTCCTTTTAATGTGAAAGAAGGATTAAATTAAGATTATTTCCTATGATAATAAAACGTTATTTCCCGTGGTATAAAAAGTGGCATTTATCACTCTCTTGACCTATGACTATGACTTTAAAAAATAATGTCAATCTGTCGTTTCGTTTTAATGTGACGTATTTGTCCCCTTCTTTTGAGGGAAGACAAATAAACAAACAAACAAACAAACAAAAACATAAACATAATACAATATTACAACAACCATTACAACTTATTACAGAAAAATAGGAAAGGCATACCGAAAATGTAATCGGGAATTGGTCATGCCTTACTTCTTTACATATATGCAATATAATTTGTTTTTTAAACAAAATATTGAAGCGCTAAAATTAGTTCTTTTTTTTTTTTTTTAATTGTATTCTATCTCTTTTCAGGGCCCATTTACTCTCAAATTAGAGAAAGCAATCGAATGCAAAGGACCTAAACGTAAAAACTGCACCGAGGTTCTTATTAAAATCGCTGATCCGATTATAGAATATAACATTTTGGTTAAGGAAGATGTATCTCCGTCAAAGGTGGGTATAATAGCAGCCATCAGTTTTGCAGACAATACCTTGTATTGGTCATTAGGCTAAAGATCCAGCAGGTCATCTACTGAAAAGCGGCCAACGACGGCTATAAACATCAGCAACTTAGGAGAAAGTTCATTCCAGCATTTCAAAATACGTAAAGGGAAAGGTATGTAGATCCAGGCAAAAACGGTTGGCCTTACCCCAGTGGCGAAAATGAAAAAGAGTTGAGAGCCGTCTTCGATAGCTGCTAGAAGTACTCACCGTAGTCTTCGCGGTAGAATATGCTAAGAGACCCAAATCACTCTATTAAATGAGGCCATTATCTTCTTCTTCTTACCTTTATCGCACATTACGTGGCGTCGATGTTTAACGACAAATAAATAATTTAATAGAGCGTTCTCTGAATTATGAAATAATGGGTTCATAATTTTTTTTATTTAATATAATATGAAAAGCAAATTTAATTATCCTCTATTTTTAGGTTACTACCATTGTTCCAATTATCGTTTCTTTTAATTATATAACTTTAATGTACCATGCCCTTAAAGGGGTGATAGATACCGCACTATGGTTCGACGACCTTATTCGCCGCTGTGCCACGTTAGGTAAGCGTGCTTTAAAACCGTGCTTTTATAAGAGGCAGGAAGCAATGTCATTTATTTTGGAAAAAGAAATCTATTATTAAAAAAAAGGATCAGTTGTTTGTATCTTAAGTTCTTCTCAGGACTGTCTGTCTGTCTATGGCTCTTTTGGTTATGGTAGAGTTCATTTTGACTTTCGACGTTCATAACACACAAAGTGGAATAAGTCATTAAATCCAATTCGACATAAAATTTATTTAATTTTACTATACTTCTTAGTTTTTCTTGAGTCTGTCCTTTTACTGGTGGTAGTAGTAGGACTTCTTGTGAGTCGAGCACGAGTAGGTACCACCAAACCGCCTATTTCTGCCGTGAAGCAGTAATGCGTTTCGGTTTGAAGGGTGGGCCAGCCGTTGCAACTATACTGAGACCTTAGAACTTATATCTCAAGGTAGGCATTGGCATTTACGTCAAAGATGTCTATGGGCTCCGGTAACCACTTAACACCAGGTGGGCCGATAGCGCATCCACCCAAATAAGTAATTAAAAAAAATTTGACGAGTGAAAGTGAAAGAAGTGGTTTGTATCCAGATTCGAATACCACGTTTTGTCTGGACATAATTAACGATTTTGTCTAACAGCTTGTAAATTTTGTTACAGGGAAAAATAACTGCAATTGCAAATAACACAGAAATGTTCATTATACATTCTCAGAGTCCTTGCACAAATTTGTTCATTAAATATTTCTATCACAAATATTTAAATATGACCAACAGCTGCATTGTCAAAAAGGTAACATTAACTTTTATCATCATTAACGAGGCCCGCTTGCGATTTGATAATTATTCCTGGTACTGACAATTGTCAAAGATTTTGTACCAAAAAAACTCAAAACAAAGTTTTAAAACTATGTAGAGCCCAGAATAAGTCGTATAACTTTTTAATGACACAAAGGAAGATAGACAAAACAGATTCTGGTGGTTGGTAATCTGTGTCACTCAACTTTAAGTTACTTTCCGGTTAAGTAATATGATAATCATTGAACCGCCCAGTGTGTGCGTAGCTTTTTATTGTTATCGGTCCTTAATAAGTATACCAAATTTCGAGTTAATCCGACGTTTTGAAGGGGGTCAAAATCATGTCCAAAGATTCCGTTACAAACATACATACGTCTGAAGTTAATAAAAGCGTATTAAAAATTCGCACTAAGCACACAGACCCGTAATCTCAAACCTTCTGATTCACATACTGCATTCGAGAATGGTGTTCTAATTTGACAGCTGTCAAAATGACATAAAAAGTGACATTTTGAAAATAAACAATTCATCTTTTCAGGGACGCTATGTATTCGAACTGAACATAAACGAAATCTTCGCTTCATTTTACAAAGGCGTTCATGTTTTCGGCGTATGGACGTTTAAAGCGCTGTTCTATAACGAAAACTGTAACTTCGATTGCTCTTTAATGACAATGAATTTCTTGCCCAAAAGAAAGACATAATTTTTTTTGGAAATGCGTTTTTATTCACTCTACGAAAATCCTATTTTAACAAATACATGCCAAGTTGCTTGACGTGGTTACAACTAAACTTTTTTTTTCTAGATCTTTGCCTCTTATGGAATCTCTTCCATGACTTAAGGAAACTAAAATATATTCAAGTTAATCTACACCAGGAACTCAGTTCTTGATAATACATATTTTTAGTAATTAAGTAATTTTTTCCACGAAAGAAACATGGTTTTATTGTCTGTTTGTCCGTGTACATTACGTACCCTGAATTGAAATTATAAATGCGTGAAAGCATATCAGACTTGGAATATAAATCGTTGTGACTCAAAAGACGACGACGAGATCAGACGCCCAATCTACTCGTATAGTATCTCTCTAATGATATACGCACTTAGCTCCTCTTTGCAAATGACTTCCACGGCGAAGGAATAACATTGTGTGATAAAAATAATAAATATAAATAAATAATTTGCGTAATTACTATACAATTGAGCCATATACCAGATGGATGGTCGCATTCACGTTGTGATGTGTACGGGCTTCGGTGAACACTGAATAAAAGCTTCATCGTAAGCTCCTTTACATATCAACGCACTTATAAAAAAAAGGAACTACTTAATTTTTTTAATATTAATATTATTAGTTAAGTAAATATATCTAGAGTATAAAAGTAAACTCTAATAATTAAATGTCAATCACTTTATTTTGAGATCCAATTTTTATGAAACAAGGCTTATATTTTCCACAAAATAATCGGTTTACCAGCGAAATCTACATAAAAATCCGTTGTGTAGTTCCGGAGATATACGCGAAACAAACAGACAGACAGAAAATAATCTTTGTTCGTTTATGTTTTATTGTTTATTGAACTACGTTATGTTCTTTACTTATACACTTTCAATTTTTTTCACTCTTCCTCAATGGACAGATACATCAGATACATACATCATAGGTGCCACCAGAATCTACTATTTTATTATACGGATTGAGACCCCGGAGTTGTTCTCAACAAGTCAACACGGTTACTGAAACTTTTAAATTTTATAGAAATATACCCATACTTAATGTTGTAAACCATTACTCCATTTTTGTCTTGGATATAAATTTGAACATGATTACATGTTAGATTTATTCAATACATGTTACATTCTCTCTATAGAATTATAGCTAGCTAGCGACCAAGAGGCAGGAACCCGACCCGTTGGACGGACCAGATTCGTGCAGCTCTGGATACCACAGTGCACGATGCTCTGCACTCAGCTGCAGATAGGAACAGATGGCGGTGCATTATAAAAAACAAACTGTTTCGAGGCCATTACCACGACCCTCAGTAATGAGGAAATCGACGCAAGGAGGAGGAGAGCGAGCCGCAAACAAAACCGGACTGAAAAATTGTTTTAACGCATCAAAGTTAATGATACTATGATGCTATGGTATAATGATTATTAAATGCTATTCATATCTATATATTCGACGTTTAATAATGATATTTTAATTCATGCCTTCATCAGTAATTTTTCGATTCCTTTTCTGCCTATATTATTTTTCGATTATTATTTTTAAGTACACATCGACAATGACAATTGTTTTGCATCGCTCGTGGAAATGTCAACAAACATATTTTATTTCATTTATAGTTTATTCTATGTCTATTCGATTGCAAATGCGAAGGGATATGTAAGTTACCTTTAATTCAAAACAAATACATGATTATATAATGCACCAGAATTAAATCAAGTCCGCCGCGAATGTTTCAATTAGTTAGCAGTTTGTGTTTTGGAAAACCGAATTTAGAAAACATATGGATGATTGTGATTCGTTCTTTATGTCATCCACGTTATGCTATAGATGGGGTCTCGTAACCACTATTATGAGGGAGCCGGTAAAGTCATTTTCTTTTTTTTCCCTTTTAGGCAGACGAGCATACGGCCCACCTGACAGTGAGTTGTTACCGTCGCTCATGGACATCAGCAATGCCAGGAGCAGAGCTAAGCCATAAGCCTCGTTTGAAGAAGAGCATGTCATAGCGCTCGGAACTTGTATGTTTTGTTTTTTTATTGCTTGGATGGGTGGAATAGCTCACAGCCCGTCTGGTGTTAAGTGGTTACTGGAGCCCATAGACATTTACGACGTAAGTGCGCCTTGAGATATAAGTTCTAATGTCTCAAGTATAGTGACAGCGGCTGCCCCACCCTTCAAACCGAAACGCATTACTGTTTCACGGCAGAAATAGGCAGGGTGGTGGTAGCTACCCGCGCGGTCTCACAAGAGGTCCTACCACCAGTAATTACGCAAATTATAATTTTGCGGGTTTGATTTTTATTACACAATGTTATTCCTTCACGTGGAAGTCAATCCTGAACATTTTTTGAGTACGTATTTCATTAGAAAAATTGGTACCTGCTGGGATTCGAACATCGGTGCATAGCTCAACACGAATGCACTGGACGTCTTATCCTTTAGGCCACGACGACTTTCTATCTACAGAAGTTAATCCAATATATGGTTAAACAAATTTCAATATTACTCATTATTTTAATTATTGCGTTGTAAGATAGACAATTTTTTTTTAAAACCTTTCTATTTTACATAGGGCTCGACGGACATTGTGATCACGAAAGTCGAAATCTGTAAAGGACCAAAACGAGTCGACTGTGCTGGTGCATCGTTCATAATGAAAAACAATTTAAGTCTGACTTATGAGTTAGATCTCAAAAGGGACATCACGCTATCGGGTGTGAGTGCTATTTAATTCGGAAATATCTAGAATTCAAAGAAAACGCTCTCGTCAGAGCGGTCTATAGATAATGACCAAGACAAAAATTTAGGTGTTCATTTCTTTTGTCTCACTGCACTCAGGATCTGCTTCTGTTCCTGGTCCTCCCATAACAGACCTAGCCTGAACGACGCTTCACATTGATCTGGTTCCTTTAATCATAAAAAATTCATTCCGCTTAATGGGGGACTACTCTCCTCTCTGTATATTACAAGTTTGTCGTAGTGCAATCTCTGACACTCCGATTCTGGAGACAGTTGTGAGTTATATTATTAAATAGTCCACGGCTATTGTTTCGTGTGTTCGATTCCACATTCATGTGATGAAGATTTTCTTGCTCCTTGTCTGTGTGATTATTATCTAAATATGTATACATTTAACTATATATCAGTATGTATATCAGTCTCTGGTTCTCACAGTACTGGAAATCCTAGTTTTGCAGCGAATGACCGTGTATGAATTGTTTCGTCTTATTAAAAAAAAAACACGGTTGTTAGAAATACTAATTTGTCCCACATCCCTCATAGCAGAATGTACCTGATGACGAAATCAACGTGAAATGCATCATCATAATCGTTAATGGTTAGCGCGTTATCTGTTTTGGTTACACGTGTGTGTCACATGGATTTAAGTAGATCTCTCAGGTGCGTTCTATATAAAAATATGCGACAAATTGAGAAAAATCAAAAAATACCTGTATTAATAATTAAAAATACCTGTATAAATATGAATACATAAAGTGTATTAAGTGAACATTTCAGGGGAAAATAGAAGGATCGTGTGAAGGCAAACCCTTTGTTAAATATCAGATGAAGAACCCTTGCGATAATCTATTTATTAAATCTTTATTCAAGACCTTCGTTAATATATCGGACAGTTGTATGGTTGCGAAGGTAAGTTTCTAATATACGATCATTACGAGAACTCAGTAAGGCATGCTTAGTAAATGTTTCTCAAGCATATTTTTACTACTGCAATTAGGGCTGCTCATACCTCAGTTATTCAAAACATTGTAAATTATACAATGAATATTTAAAAAAAACGAGTTTGAACTAGAGATACGATTTTTAATTATTTCTATGACTCCTGAAAACCGAAGAAAACAAATTATCTTGAACTGTTCGAAACTAATAAAAGTCTTTCGTATAATAAATATTAAACTCCGTATCTAGAAGTAGGGAGAAGAATTACATTTTCAATGAAATTTAGATTATTAAGAAAAATAAAGTTTTAAGGGACTTTCAATCAAATGTACAACTGTACTTTTATTTTATTTTATTGCCGTATAGGCAGACGAGCATACAGTCCACCTGATGGTGAGTGGTTACCAACGCTCATGGACGACATCAATGCCAGGGGCAGAGCCCAGCCGCTGCCTACCGTTCTCCACAAGCCTCGTTTGAAGAAGGACATGACATAGCGCTCGGGAAATACCGTTGGAGTTCACTCCAAAGCCGGATGTTGCGTGGCAAAAAATATCTCTGAAAATGCACTGTAGATTGTGGATAAACGCAGTGGCTCCAGGTAGTATGGATGAACTCTACTCCGATGTCTGAAGTCGTCGTGGCCTAAAGGATAAGACGTCCGGTGCATTCGTATGTAGCGATGCACCGGTGTTCGAATCCCGCAGGCGGGTACCAATTTTTCTAATGAAATACGTACTCAACAAATGTTCACGATTGACTTCCACGGTGAAGGAATAACATCGTGTAATAAAAACCAAACCCGAAAAATTATAATTTGCGTAATCACTGGTGGTAGGACCTCTTGGGAGTCCGCACGGGTAGGTACCACCACCCCGCCTATTTCCGCCGTGAAGCAATAATGCGTTTCGGTTCGAAGGGTGGGGTAGCCGTTGTAACTATACTGAGACCTTAGAACTTATATCTCGAGGTGGGTGGCGCATTTACGTTGCAGATGTCTATGGGCTCCAGTAACCACTTAACACCAGGTGGGCTGTGAGCTCGTCCATCCATCAAAGCAATAAAAAAAAAAAGTACAACTGACTTAAAACAAAAACTTGTCACCTTTTCAAATATTATTTTTAAATTTTAAGGGCCAATACAAATTCCTTGTGGACGTCGAAAACATATCTCAAAAGTACTACAACGGGGTTTACTTTTTCGGGAATTGGACGTATAAGTCAGTCTTTTATGGGAACAGTTGTAACGTTATATGCAACGTTATCGAATTGATTATCACACCGAAAAAGAAATATTAATGCAAGGTAAAGGTAAAAGTAAATTATTTATCAAAGTATAAATCGATCCCTGGATGAATATAGAGCAGCAGAAAACGCCGAATTTGAATGAGACTGAGCCGTAGATTGGGTCATTACAAAAGTTAAAATAAGACGAAAAGACTAAGTTACCACCTACTAATACCGAGAGAGCTGGTGGTAGTGGCGTCGACGACCTCCAGTCCGGCATTCCGAGGGGGAGAGTGAGGGGGAGATGTGCTCCGCACTAAGCGCTTCGCTTTCCCCCCTTTCCCTTTTCATGAGTTCTGTCTTTTGAGAGGTTTGGACGTTCGTTGTTGAGTGACGGGAGGCTATAGTCGGTTCTACTCCGACATACCTCTACTCTCTCCAACTCTAACCAACTCTAAAGATATAAAAGTAACAATGTACCAGATAAAATTGATAAATACTTTTTGCTTGAAGAATTAAAAAGAAATAACTTCTGGGCGAACAAATAAATATTTAAAATACGCTACTGTAATATAAAATAAGCACGGTAAAGTAAAATAATCTCCATGTTTGACTACCACAATGCTCCTTATAAATAATTTGAGATTATTTTTTGTTCACAGATAGCCGAATATCTAAAAACAGCCAGCAAACCAATACAGAATCTTACTCAAAACAAACTATACATCTACTGTTTTCATAAACAAATAAAACTGAAGTGTGTGCCTTTGATTTTGCAATGACTATTCTATGCCAATAGGGTTATATATAAATATATACACTTATTACATAAATACACTTATTAAGTTCACAATCACAAATCGTAACGATGCGATCAGCTCCATTAGAATCGGATTCAAACTTGCTGAAGGGCCAACATAATACGGCAAGCTATTCAGACACTATTATCGTTACATGGATAAACATTCCTTAATGCACCATTGTTGATGTCTGCTGTGTATATTAAAATTAAAACTAAACCACACATATCAAAGTAACAATTTTAAACTTTTGTAAAAATTTCACTATTAATCGTTATTAAACAGTTATCGCTTCTCGGCCTTTTGGCTATAAGATCAAAGTGTAGTATCTGTTCTTTTAATACCTGAAAGTTCCCGCTTTGCGGGACCAGTAGACACAGTCCACTGAGTTTCTCGCCGGATCTTCTCAGTGGGTCGGGTTTCCGATCCGGTGGTAGATTCTGCGAAGCACTGCTCTTGCTAGGGCCAGTGTTAACAACACTCCCAGCTCGAGCCCCGTGAGCTCACCTACTATTTCGGTGAATCTAGAGTAACCCCTCGAGGTTACTTGAATAGGTAGAAAAAAAAACATTAATTAAAATATGAGACAATGTGCATATGTTTTTTCTCTTTACTTCTAGTTATTTTTTCACTTTTCCAAGAAAGAGAAACAATTATCTGTAGGATAATAATCAATAGACCGTAATGATCCTCTATATAGAGAACATAAAATATACGTACATTAACGAAAAAATTACCTTCATATACTGTAGTTCAATAGCGCACTCAACATCTTCAATGATTTATGTTTTAAGGTTTAAGCGGTTTTTAAATGAATTGATAATACTATATAGTAAACCATAAAGCCTAACGAGCCGTGAAATGTGTTTGCCGTCTACTGATTGAGAGGATTGAAGGGTAAAAAGTACACAAAATAAATCTATTTTTACACTGGTGCACAAAAAAACTCATATCGTATTGTAATCAACTTTATTTTATGAGCAATATACAAGATTTTTTTAAAACATTTTTACTTAAATTAAAAAGAAATTATAATTATTTTTTATTGACACGAATCCTCATTTGGTAAGAATGAATTTCTTATCTGGCTTTGTTAACACATACCATACTTTTGTCCATGGATTGTATCCACTTTTAGCAGGCTTAGGGTACCCCGGTAACCGTACTCGTAGAACTCGACAAAGAGTTCGACGTGCAACCTAACCCATGCATGAGTTTCTCGCCGGATCTTCTCAGCGGGTTGCAATTTCGATCCGGTAGTAGATTTATTCGCAAAGCAGCTGCTCTTGAGCTGTTAGGTCTCCTTTGGAGGCATTCGGGGAACTGTTAGCAAATCCCACCCCTCCTGGCTGAGCATTTGCTCGCCCACCCATCCTGGTGAAACTAGAAAGACCTCCGGTTCACCAGAAATCATTCATTCATAAAAAAAGTATCCAGTTTTTAATGGTAGATTAAAAAACCAAATTTCTCATTCCTCCAATAAAACCGTGTTCAGCTGTTTTCAGTTGTATATTTGAAAACCTTAAATCTAAATGATATTTATACCTGATATTATGAGCCATAAAGATAATGTTTTTAACTTTCGACTGAAATTTTGAAACGACTGAACCGTTTAGCAACCCCTTTTTATATTGCGGGATAGCTGATGCTGATGGATTGGAAAATATCTGATTCTAATAAGAATGTATTATTCATACCAAAAAAAGCCATATTACATTATTAAAAGGAGAACTTCTGTCTATCTCTATATATAAAAATGAATTGTTGTTCGTTAGTCTCGCTAAAACTCGAGAACGGCTGGACCGATTTGGCTAATTTTGGTCTTGAATTATTTGTGGAAGTCCAGAGAAGGTTTAAAAGGTAGATAAATATGAAAATGCTCGGAATTAAATAAAAATAACAATTTTGTTTTTCCTTTGATGTGTCCCCCGTCGATCTTTTATTTATCGATTGAGGCCCTACGAAGTCTGCCGGGTCAGCTAGTATAATATAAAAAATATATGTTTATTGCAGCTTCCTAACCGCAGAAAGAACCCTAGCATTACATTTTCGATGTTCCCTTTTACTACATTTTTAAAATCAAAATACCTGTGCTAAATTAATTTGTCTTTAGTGAGTACTTCTTTTTTGTCAAATTTTATAATTTAATTACTGTTTAGCACCCCCTTGACAAATATTGAAACCACATATTGACAAATTATAGATTTGAGTAGCCGTTTATTCTTCTTCTTCAGTGTGCTCCTTGACTCTGGCCGATGTGCATATTTTATTATTCTACTAGTACAAGAGACCGCAATCAATTGCTGAATAATTCTTGATAATAATCAATACCATAAATTCTCACACAGTAAAATTATAAACTACAATTTATTAAACTACAATTATAAATAAAATTATAAACTATACTCGCCTTTGTACATAGTATTTAGACATTCTTTAAATGTGTTTTTATTGTATTTTCCTTTTGTGTACAATAAGTATAAATAAACTACTAGCTGTACCCGTCCGCTTCGCTGGGGATTTAAAATTATTATAACATTATTATTTCTTACCCCCCGAAAGATTCTCATCATTAACGCCCCCGCAACTGGTTTAGGGAGTCCAACACTCATATAAATATTAGCCTATCCATTAAGTATATGTATTTTTTACATTAATACCACGTTTCAAGACAATCGGATGCATGGTTCAGTAGTTATAACGGAACATCCGTAAAAGCCACTGTAAATTTAAATATTAGTATATATAGATAATGATTTCATACAAGTTTGAGTTGTTAATTATATTCTTTTTTTTTTTCAACAAAGCTATTTGGTATATTTAAAGTGAACCTAGTTAATAATAGTCCAAGCGACCCCGGCTCCTCACAAATTTAATATACAGAGAATATCATCGACACAAATATGATTAGCACCGTATAGGTAACAGTCCTTTTGTCATGTGCCCCAAAAAATTTTTATTGACTTTATTAGGCTTAGCGGACCTACAAATGACTTTATCGTCTCCGAATCTTAATTATGTAAGTATTAGTTGATAGAGTTGAACAATGAACATTCAAACTACAAAAAACTAACAAAATACAAACAAAAAATATTAGAACAAAGCAGTGAACGTGGTGAATCATCAAGAATGTGTTTATTAAAATATAATTCAAAGTATGTGAGATAGAAAAACTTATAGAATTGCGATGGGCACTAAGATGTAGATTAGCAACCGACGACGACGAGAATCTAAAAAAAGCTTTTGTTTAAAGCATTGAAGTTTTATTAAAATTAATAACTTCATCTCAAGCTCATAAAGAATAACAATAATGGTGACAATAAAAGTTTATCGTGGTAATGAATATATAGAAAAAGCTTTATTATATAAAAAGCAATTCATTCCAAAGAAAAAGGTAACACCGAATTCATTCTTACACCCAAAAGACAAAATGGGTATAGCGAAAAACCAGTGTAATATTTCATTTATTTTATGTAATTTACAATATCGTTTACTGTGCAATATAAAAAAGTTATAAACATCCTTTAATAAAAACTTGCAAAAGTTATAATTTGCTTAATTACTAGCGATAAGGCGTCTAAGGTCGGCTCTCACACGATTTTATGTATGTTGAAAAACTTGAAATATTTATTATGGCTTAATTTTATTTTTTCAGGGTACTGTTTCATTCGTTACCGGCAAATTGGGGACTTGTAAAGGACCTAAACGGAGGGATTGCTGTAACGTAAAACTATTCTCAAATAATGGAGCAGATATTGTTTACGAATTTTCTGTCAAGGAAAACTTTGAGGTTACCTCTGTAAGCACAACTTCGTGTAATAATGACATCTCACATTTTGACATTTATGCGCTACAGAAATGCACTGAAGTCACTGAAGTAGGAAACCTATGGAAATGAAACGTCAACAAAAAATTCGTGCCACTGTGACGTCATCTGGCCACAAAACATGGCGGTTTTAGTGCTGCCCAGAAGATTTTAATGTTAGTAGGTTTTATCGATAAACGTTCTTGGCTCATTTTATTTTAAATATTGTTGAGTGAATGTATTTGTAGAAATTATACTTTAATAGGAAGTAAGTATATTGTTATGTGCAAAGATGATGTGATTTAGATATTATGTGAAATCTAAGACGAGTTCGTGCTTCAAATTTGCCAAGTAAACGATATGACGATTTTTAAAATTTGCTACCATGATTTTATAAAGTTGTCGTTTGCCGCAAAACATAAAGATATGGCGTAGTACAGTGCCATCTGCCCATTTCTAGCATGCTGAATGTTATCGTATTTTGAGTACGTGTTTTTCTTAGACTATTACAATCTATTTTAATTGTTTTGTTGACTCTAAAGTCCGTAACACACTACCGCAGCGCACCTCAAGGAAGGTACACTGCACCATTTGAATCACTCTCACTTGAGAGTGATTCAAATTTTAAACTTATCAAGGGACCGCCTGATAAAAAAAACACCTACAGAACATTTATTCGTTAATAAAATTACAAACGTCATTCCTTGTGACTTCCTCTCTAAAATCACTTAATTATTAAATATTGAACGAGTTGACAATAGTGTTTTACTCACTGCGGAATAAAACTATTTTATTTAAATAGTTCCGAAGAGATTTTGTCGGTAGCCTTTTTCCTGAAATATCTAAAGAGACATTCTGTGTCTAAATATGTTTTGATGACATATTTTAAAGAGGTATTTTAGATTAGTGTCATGATCAATATATTCCGACCGAAAAATGGTGTCCGATTTTTCGGATGAGGGCTCCATAATGAATTTAAATATATATAGATAATAGTTTTGGGGCATCGACTTTCTTGAGATCCTATAAAATATGTTTTAATTATTATTTTTGTATGTTTTAAGCATGATAAAATAAGAAATTTTATATAAGCAATCATATTAAATCGATATCAAAGTCAATAAATAATGTACAACCCAAAACAGACGGCCGAACAGACGTGACAATGACATTTGGCGCGCTAAACATGGCGGATTTTCGGCCTCATTAGACGGAGACGGAGACATTTACGTATATTCATTTTTCATTTTATGTACGCACTGAAATACTGTTATATTGTTTTCCTGCGAGTTAAAGTGCTGAGTAAGAACGAGATAGATATATGTTTATGTATGTGCCTTCAAAATGGGTGCTATTTATATAAGCAATTGTACGTATAGAACAATATGTCGTGTCCCTACTATATAGGTCTATGACTGAAGTAGGAAACCTATGGAAATGAAACGTCAACAAAAAATGCGTGACACTGTGACGTGATCTGGCCACTAAACATGGAGGTTTTAGTGCTGCCCAGAAGATTTTAGTGTTATTAGGTTTTATCGATAAACGTTCTTGGTTCATTTTATTTTAAATATTGTTGAGTATTAATTATTTGTAGAATTTATAGTTTAATAGGAAGTAAGTAGGTATATTGTTATGTGCAAAGACGATGTGATTTAGATGTGTGAAATCTAAGACAAGTTCGTGCTTCAAATTTGCCAAGTAAACGATATGACGATTTTTAAAAGTTGCTACACTGATTTTGTAAAGTTGTTTATAACCTCTCTATTACAATCTATTTTCATTGTGTTGCTGACTCTAAAGTCCGTAACACACTACTGCAACGCACCTCAAGGTAGGTGCGTTGCAGTGTGTCACTCTGCATTTGAATCACTCTCACCTGAGATTGATTCAAATTTTAAACTTATCAAGGGACCACGTGATAAAAAACAACACCTTCAGAACATTTATTTAATTACAAACGTCATTCCTTGTGACTTCCTTTCTAACGTATATTCATCATAGACCTTTAAAGTAGGGACGCGTCATAATGTTCTATACGTAAAATTGCTTATACAAATAGCACCCATTTTGAAGGCACACACATAAAAATATATCTTTCTCGTTCTTACTCAGCACTGTAACTCGCAGGAAAACAATATTACAGTATTTCAGTGCGTACATAAAATGAAACATGAATATGTGGTGTGAAGAGATATACGACAAAGGGAAGATCTTCCACCGAGCGGGTGATATTGCTCGGTAGACCGACGGTCCGAATGTTGTTGTTCGGAACTTGTATATATGCGAGCTTATCTTGAAAATGTCGTAAGCGAGGTTCAGGCATCTGTCAAATATCTTGTGTTCTGTGATGGCTACCGCCACAAATATACGTAAATGTCTAATGAGGCCGAAAATCTGCCATGTTTAGCGCACCAAATGTCATTGTCACGTCAGTTCGGCCGTCTGTTTTGGGTTGTACATTATTTATTGACTTTGATATCGATTTAATATGATTGCTTATATAAAATTTCTTATTTTATCATGCTTAAAACATACAAAAATAATAATTAAAACATATTTTATAAGATCTCAAGAAAGTCGATGCCTCAAAACTATTATCCATATATATTTAAATTAATTATGGAGCACTACTCCGAAAAATCGGACACTATTTTTCGGTTGGAATCTATTGATCATGACATTAATCATAAATACCTCTTAATAAAATGTATCATCAAAACATATTTAAGCATTCTGTTTAGAAATTTCGGGAAAAAGGTTACCGACAAAATCTCTCTTCGGAACTATTTAAATAAAATAGTTTTATTCCGTAGCGAGTAAAAAACTATTGTAAATTCGTTAAATTAAGTGATTTTAGAGAGGAAGTCACAAGGAATGACGTTTGTAATTAAATAAATGTTTCAGAAGGTGTTTTTTTTTTTATCACGCGGTCCCTTGATAAGTTTAAAATTTGAATCACTCTCAAGTGGGAGTGATTCAAATGGTGCGGCGCACCTACCTTGAGGTGCGTTGCAGTAGTGTGTTACGTACTTTAGAGTCAGCAACACAATTAAAATAGATCGTAATAGAGAGGTAAGTAGTCTAAAAAAAACTCGTACTCTTATTTTGATATGCAAAACAGCATATCTAGCATGCTAACGTTTTATCGCCGACATAAAGCTTTCATCCCTTTCCGGCATATACGCAAGCGCGAGCGACACGGCAACATACGAAACGACGATAAAATTTAGCGTGCTAGAAATGGGCAGATGGCACTGTACTACGCCATATGTTTTGCGGTGACTGAGTTGTAAAACGACAACTTTATAAAATCAGTGTAGCAACTTTTAAAAATCGTCATATCGTTTACTTGGCAAATTTGAAGCACAAGCTTGTCTTAGATTTCACACATCTAAATTACATCATCTTTGCACATAACAATATACTTACTTCCTATTAAAGTATAAATTCTACAAATAATTAATACTCAACAATCTATACTAATATTATAAAGAGGAAAGATTTGTTTGTTTCGAATAGGCTCCGAAACTACTGGACCGATTTGAAAAATTCTTTTTCCATTAGAAGCCGACATTGTTCCTGATGAACATAGGCTACTTTTTGTATTATTTTTTTTATATTTTTTTTTGGTTTCTTGTGTGTTTTAATGTTTCCGAAGCGAAGCGAGGGCGGGTCGCTAGTATTTAAAATAAAATGAACCAAGAACGTTTATCGATAAAACCTAATAACATTAAAATCTTCGGGGCAGCACTAAAACCGCCATGTTTAGCGGCCAGATGACATCACAGTGGCACGCATTTTTTGTTGACGTTTCATTTCCATAGGTTTCATACTTCAGTGATATTCATGTTTCATTATATGCACGCACTGAAATACTGTTATATTGTTTTCCTGCGAGTTACAGTGCTGAGTAAGAACGAGATAGATATATGTTTATGTATGTGCCCTCAAAATGGGTGCTATTTGTATAAGCAATTGTACGTATAGAACAATATGTCGCGTCCCTACTTTAAAGGTCTATGCAGAAATGTTAATGTATGTCCAATTATATCTGTGGTATCTTCCATCTTGATATTATAATTTTAACTGATGTCATTTCTGTCACGAAGCTATCTATCGTCACAATTTGGAGGCTACAGCTATGACTCCAATGCTATTTAGATCTCGAACTATGGGTTGATCAGCGGTATTCAGGTTGTAGGGTCGGTAACTGCTGTTCCTTTAGACATATTATAAATAAAATTTAAGTTAAGTTATTATCTTACATTAGCGATATCAATCGTACATGATCAATGTTCAACTGATTGTTTCAGAACTTCCAGGTACAATGATAGTACTATAACAACTAATTAATACATAGTGTAAATAGTGGGTACATACGCTTGCATTACCAATGGCTCGAGTACATGGAAAAATAAGAGGAGGTTGCGTATGCGTAAAATCTCACAAAACTTCAAATTCATATTAATAAATACTACTGCATCTCTGCCATAAAGCATGTACACACTAGAGAACAACTACAAAGGAAAGATCTTCCACCGAGCGGGTGATATTTCTCGGTACTACCGAGTCGGTAGACCGACGGTCCAAAAGATGTTGTTCGGAACTTGTATATATGAAGCTTATCTTGAAAATGTCGTAAGCAAGATTCAGACGTTTGTCAAATATCTTGTGTTCTGTAATGGCTACCGCCACAAACACATTATAAAGTATGGAGTCAATCCCACATATTCGATTAAAACAGGACCAAGATAATGACACGATTTGATATGAATAATATTTCATCTTGATTTTTTTTATTAAGGAACTGGTTCCCGGGAGGCCTTTCCAATTTCATCAGGACAGATGGGCAAGTACGGGCTCAGCCAGGAGGGGTAGGATTTGCTAACAGTTTCCCGAGCACCTTCGAAGGAGGCCTAACAGCTCAAGGACAGCTGCTTGGGGAATACATATTTTACTACCGGATCGGAATCGCGACCCGCTGAGAAGATCCGGCGAGAAACTCAGAGGACTGATGTAGAAATTAGGTTGCACGTCAAACTCTTTACCGAGTTTGAGGAGTACGGTTACCAGAGCCCCTGAGCCTGCTCCTAGTGTTAGAACTGAAGTGCTCATCTTATATTCGACGAACCTATTATATCTTCTAATTTAAACATTTTCACTTTTATTGTATCTCATACCTTCAAAGTAAAAAGCTATCAGGTTTCGTCGTCCATTCGAACTTATATTCGTTCTTGCTCTGAAAGTTTATATTTTTTAGGGAAAGGTCGTTGCTTTATCTCAAGGCAGAGAAATGGTCAAATTTCAAATCAAGAAACCCTGTGATAACTTCTTGATCAAAACATTGTTCCAAATTTACCTTAACGTCACTGATAACTGTTTTGTACATAAAGTAAGTCTTTTATTAATTACATACCATTAAGAATCTTACGCAAAAATATGAATATGTTCTTCAAACACATATCTTTTTCTTCTAGTCTCGTTTTCTTTTCGACTTACCACGTTCTTTATTTATAAACGAACGCAATTTGGCAATGGTGGAAGCATTTGTGTATTGAAGATAGAAGAGCATGTCGATTTCTTGGTATAGAGGTTGTATTTTTGGAGTGTTTGATGTAGTCTGGTTTTCCTCCTGTAAGGTCACTACTTTTAATAGCAGAATGGAAGACTATGGAAACTTGAGTAATCTTGAGTGATCCATTCATATTTTTTTGTAGTAACCTATACATTTTTTTGGAAATCTTCTATCTTCTATATATATATAATAATGAATTGCTGTTCGTCAGTCTTGCTAAAACTCGAGAACGGCTGGACCGATTTGGCTAATTTTGGTATTGAATTATTTGTGGAAGTCCAGAGAAGGTTTAAAAGGTAGATAAATATGAAAATGCTCGGGATTTAATAAAAATATAAATTTTGTTTTTGCTTTGATGTGTCGCCCGTCTGACGGATTACTTTGGTTTGTTTTAAGTTTATTTTATACAAAAATTTAGATCTTTTATTTATAGATTGGGCCACTGCGAAATCTGCTGGGTCAGCTAGTTATTTATAAAAAAGTCTTAAATTTCAGGGTCACTACGTTTTCAAGGTAAACCTGCAAGAAACTTCAGAGAAATATTTTGATGGAAAATATTTTTACGGAAACTGGACCTTTAGATCAGTATTCACAAGCAAAGATTGCAATTTTTACTGTACTCTCGTTGAAGTTATCACGAGACCTAAGCGTGAAACATAAACATTAAAAATATTTTGTCTTTGTTTTTAATCTTTACAAGTATTTTACTTCTCAATTATTCATCGATTTATCTGTTAAAATTCGAACGAAGTAATTTTGGCGTAATATTTCATTTATTAACTAATAATAATAAAAACGGCCTTCTTCACGGCCAAATAAATATATAAATAAAACACTGAACTCTGTATTTTTTTTATTTAGTTCGTTTCATAATTTTAATATTTTTAGTGCTAAGAATGTTGAACGAGCTCACGGCCTACGTCATATTAAATGGTTACCGGAGCCCATAGAGATCAACAAAGTACATGCCGTCACTACCTCTCTTAAGACATGATTTTTGAGTATCCGTCATATACATAGTACAACGGCTGTCCTATCCCACAATTTGAACTGGAGCGCCTTACTGCTTCGCGGCAGAAATAGGTAGGGTGGTGGTACCTACCCGTGCATGCTCAATTAGGGAAAAGTGGGGGAAATACGAACACCTAAAACTTAAATAAAACAATGGAATTTGATCACAATTTTTTTTTAATTTATTTATTATAAAGTTTACTTATCTGTCTAACTTATTCACTAATCAACATTTATATTTTTTTAATAAATTGCAACAATATGAAAGAAAAGCAAAACCCTTAGCGTTCGGCTTTGCCCGACATTAGTCGGGTAAATACGAACACCAAGTGGGGTGATTATGAACCAACATTATTAACGACATAGATCACATTTAAAACCCAACAATGTTGACTGTCCCTCAGTACAACTCTCGTGAGGCCATTTTTTGCACACATAGCACACAATCCAGTCTTCAACGGGAGGATCTATATATTTATCTCTACAAAAAATACAAAAGCAGTCTTTATTTTCTTTTTCGCCTTTTTTTCGTAATTTTGACTAGAGTCCAGTTTTTTATATTTTTCAAATTCTTTAATAAATCTAAATCTCCTTGTTTGAAGGTGTTTTCTTATTAGTCTTTTAACTTCTTCTTCAGTCTTTTAAGTTGGGTTCCTTTTTTTGGCATATATTCCGTTTTCTTCTTGATTTCTTGCGTTTCCTGATCCTCTGTAAATAAAGGTTTTCGTCCAGACCTTGACTGTTTTAACACTTCTTTCGTTAGATGGTCAAAATTAATGGTTATTAGAACATTATATGTTTCTGCTGCTTTACCGAGGGAGTTTTTTGTTTTAGCATCGTCTATAGCCTTTTTGAGATCTTCTAAGCTATACTTCAGTTCGGAATTTCTTTTGTACGAGGCATCCTTAATAATATTTAAAAAAAGTTGAACGGGGAACCAACAAATGAGAGTGGGGTAATGGCGAATGTTCGAAATTGCCCGACATGGAGTGTTCGTCTTTAGCCCGCGGAATCGAAAATAATTAAAGGTCAAAAAACAAATTTGGATAAATTTATTTTGTCTACTACATCGTTGTCATTTAGCTGAGTAATATGTGATTATTCCACTATGTAAAAGCGGAATTATTATTGTAGATAGAAATAAAGCAACACCAACTTGAATTTACCAAAAAAATTACATCTAAAACATAAAAAATATTGAAAAATGCATACCTTTATAAGTACGTGCGTCTGCGTCTCCCGTGGTCTTGAATAGCACCAGTGGTGGCGTTATCTTCGAAATGGCAGCAAATAAAATTAGGATATCTCTTTCTAAATAAAATCAAATAAAATCAAAAAAATTGTATTCAACATAAATGAAAGTACATGCTTGTTGAACGTCAAAAGAACTACCACCAATTCACAAGAACTAGCCTCCGTCCTGAAAAGAATTGGCAAGAAACTCAGCGGGCATGTCTTTTTTTTTTAAATATTAGATTATTTTTTAATATTAGATTTTTTTTAAATATTCATTTTTACATGAGTATTATAACATAACAATTATTACAATATTCAAATGCGGAGCGAGCAACTCATTCCCACTTTGTGCAATCTTCTAGATAATCATTGACTTTATAGTAAGCTTTATTGCACAGATGTTCTTTAATAGTTTTCTTAAACCTATGTATATGTAGGTTCTGAACATTTGTGGGATTTTGTTGTACAGGCGCACAGACAAACACCCGAATGAATTTCGTATCTTATGTAACCTACTCATCGGTACAACAAGCTTGTGTTTGTTCCTAGTATTTCTATTATGTATGTCCGACATTTTAGAAAACTCCTCAATATGTTTACGAACATACATCAAATTTTCAAAGATGTAACTAACATATCAGAACCATTGAATTCGGCATCACCCCGCGTTCGCGTTTCTCCAACTTTCCCCTACGCAAATTATAATTTTTGTAGATTTTATTTTCATTACGCGATTTTATTCTTTCATTGTGAAGAATCTAAGACTAAATCGAGTTCCTAGTCATTCGTATTTTAAGTAGAAATTTCATCGCGGAAAGCGGTACCGGCCTGCAAGATTCGAGCTCCGGCGCATTCGCATCGCCCGATACAAACTCATCGGACGTCTTATCCTTTAGGTCACGACGACTTCAAGCCGTAAGTAAAAAGTATAATAGTCATATAAGTAAAAAATACTGGTCTTTGTGCCGTCTGTCTTCTCTTGTTTGTTTTGTTGTGTTCTCTTACTTAAAAGTTAATTTAAAGATAACTTATGTTGCAGTGAACATAATGTCATAGAGCGACACAGTCGTGTTGCGAAAAGTCTCTTGACTAAAGAAATAATGAAAATCATGGGTTCCGAGTCGAACGATAAGCAGTTGGTGTATCGAAACTGTTTGAACTTCTTCAATCTTTTATTACTATCTGCAAGGGCATTCGGGTATAGTGGTCTCCTATAGCCGGTTAACATATAATTGTCCTTGTCTTCCCGTTTTATTCAAATAAAACAAAAAGAAAAATGATTTGTTCATTATAACTTCATTACCATTCTACCGATCAGAAGACAATTAGGCTTAATACTAAGTATATCTCTAATAAGCTTTTATGTCTCGCTGTTAACCACTTTCCTTCAAGCATTGTAGATCATTATTTATATTTCCGTTGAACCATTATTATGTACTTACTGAAGTAACTAGGCGTGACTTGTATATGGTAAATGGCCATGATGTTGTTTTGATCCGTTCAGAGGAGGCCTGGGTACACTGAACCTTCAAAACTAATTTGACGAAAAATATGAATTAAGACGTCATGGCCTAAAGGATAAGACGTCCGATGCATTCGTGTTGAAGCGATGCAACGGTGTTCGAATCCCGCAGGCGGGTAGCAATTTTTCTATTGAAATACGTACTCAACAAATGTTCACGATTGACTTCCACGGTGAAGGAATAACATTGTGTAATAAAAACCAAACCCGCAAAATTGTAATTTGCATAATCACTGGTGGTAGGACCTCTTGTGAGTCCGTACGGATAGGTACCACCGCCCTGCCTATTTCTGCCGTGAAGCAGTAATGCGTTTCGGTTTGAAGGGTGGGGCAGCCGTTGTAACTATACTGAGACTTTAGAACTTGTATCTCAAGGTGGGTGGCGTGTCTACGTTGTAGATGTCTATGAGCTCCACTTAGCACCAGGTGGGCTGTGAGCTCGTCCACGAAGCTAAGCAATAAAAAAAAAAGAATAGAAAGCAATAAAACATAAGAATATTTGGTCCTGGAAACTAAACTTCACACGCACAGGAGCTACGTAGATTAGAAAACGGGATTTACTATCTCAAGCCGGTCAGCTAATGCCAACATCAAACATAATATGTAATTTGAATTTCAGGTAAGAAAAGGAACTTATACTGATATGAAACCCTCATTGATCATGTTTATAGTTCATAGAGCGAATTGTGAAATCCGCACAAACTCGTAATAGCCACGGCCTATACAGCCCATGCTCATTAATGTTTGCCTGCATAAGATTGTCATAAATAGTTTCATTTCGAACAGAAGGGTAGCCTGAAACTCTTTATTAGTGGCTTTAAAAATTTGGAAATAATTAACAATGCGCAACTCCATTAACTTTTTCATTATTATGAGATTACGTTCACAACGTGATTTTTAGTGTACAATAAAGTATACTCTACTCTACTATAACGATAATGATCAAATTCAACGCTCAATATTGTATAGCGTTTTGAGCAAAACAAAGTGGTTGTAGTTTATAGGTTTAATTTCGATAGATAAATAAATCAACGATCAGAAAATTAGAAAAACGAGAACAATTAAGGCATATTTGATTGAGTGCATTGATTTTTGTTAAAGAACACAGATTAACTATAGTATGTCTATCATTTGAAATAGACACAAGCCTTTCAATATTGGAACTTTTAATCTTGATTTTAGTTTTAATGAACATTATGCAACATATTTGGAGTTTAACATTTATTATTATCTCCATCTTGTCATCGACATACCCAAAACTTGATTACGTGAGTTTGCTTTTTTTTCTACATATAAAATATCTTTACTTAATACGTTTTCAAATAAAACAATCAAACTTGAATATAATTATCCCACTTATTTTATTTAAATACTACATATTATATTACTTATTTTTCTCTACACAAAAATATAAATCTAATTTGAAAGCAAGAAATATGCTTTTAAAACGAACTAAAAGTAAATAATTTTCTTTATCGTCTGGATAATAATATGTTTTAATTGTCAAAGTTTAATTTAACCAATTATATTCAATAAGTTGGCCTTCTAATATCCAGATCTCTTGATCTGGTCGCTCTTGGTCAAATTTATAGAAATTATTGTATTATTATTATCGTCAGTAAAAGTGCATTTATAAATAAAAACTAAGTCAACTGTCTCTGTTTGTATTCGTTTGTCAATAGTCAGTTTAACCTAAGCAATGAGTGAAAATATCAAATGTACTTAATTTTCAATAAGGCTTTATGCAAAGCTATTGTTTAGAGTTTGTTACATTTTAATCTGTTCATTGTTTACGAGTACGCCTGCCGTCGGGCCCGGGCTTTATAAAACTCATAAGTCGAATTAGAGATATAATTTTATCCTGTGGCAGTAGTCATAACAGAACACAAAATATTTGACAAATTCGAATTCAAAATCATTTATTTCAACATAGATGGCAGTATAACACACTTGTTGAATGTCAAAATAAAAATAACAATGTTAACTCTACCACCGGTTCCAAAAAAGTCACAGTCCTGAGAAGAACCGGCGAAACAAACTCAGCGGTCTGTTTTTTTTTTGTTATTCTCAAAAAAAAAAACTCAGCGGTCTGTTTTTTTTTGTTATTCTCAAAAAAATTTTTTTTTTAAATTAGTAATCATATTTACAATAAACGAAAAAACAAGCCAAAAATTCAATTAAAATAATATTAATAATGAAAAATGAAAAGGCCAGGAGCGAACGCCTCATTCCCACGTAGTGCCATCTAGTAAATAATCCTTAACTTTATAATATGCCTTGTTGCACAAACATTCCTTGACAGTTTTCTTAAATCTATGAACAGGTAGTAATTGAACGTTTTGTGGGATCTTGTTGAAAAGTTGTACACCCAGCCCCCTAAAAGAGTTGCTTATTTTCTTAATTCGAGCCGCCGGCAACGCAAGCCTGTGTTTGTTCTTAGTGTTCACATTATGCAAATCGCAGACTCTGGGGAATTCTTCAATGTTTTTACGCCCGTACAATAAATTTTCAAAAATGTATTGGGACGCTAAAGTTAGAATTTTGATTTCCTTAAACTTGTCTCTCAAGGATTCCCTCGGATGCATATTATAAATAGCACGAATAGCCCTCTTCTGCAGGATGGAAATCGTTTCGACATCGGCAGCACTGCCCCATAGCAAAATGCCATAGGACATAACACTATGAAAATAACTGAAATAAACCAGACGTGATGTATCTTCATTAGTATACGTTCGTATTTTTTTTACCGCGAACGCCGCAAAATTAAGTCTACTCGCTAACTTGCATATGTGAGGACCCCACTGCAGCTTGGAATCAACTATTATACCAAGAAAAACTGTCGAATCCACAAGTTCCAGTGTCCAAGCTCCACTTACAGTAATATTAGTGTCTACTTGTCTAACATTAGGTGTTGTAAATTTTATACATTTTGTTTTTTTGTTATTTAATAACACATTATTAACACTAAACCAATGTACCACGCGCGAGATAGCATCATTCATATCGTCATAATCTTCCAATTGTCGTTTAATTTTAAACAATATGGATGTATCGTCAGCGAATAATACGACCGACCTCGTGACGGGTTTCAATAAACGTTGGTAAATCATGGAAACAAGAAATAGGAAGGGACCCAATATGAAACCCTGAGGAACACCCATATTAAGTAAGATACCGGAAGATCTCTTTCCTTTGACGTCTACCTTTTGGATTCTTCCGGATAAATAAGATTTAATAAGTTCTAATGAAACGCCCCTAATACCATAATGGTGTAATTTCCTCAACAATGTATTATGCTCCACACAATCAAAAGCTCTAGATAAGTCGCAGAATACCCCAAGGGCATTATGCGATTCCTCCCAAGCCTGACTAATATTTTTAATAAGATCTACACCTGCATCAATAGTTGAACGACCTCTAGTGAATCCATATTGTTTGTTATGAAGCAGGTTATTGGAATTGAAATGGATCAAAAGATGTACCAAAAAAAAATTTTTTCAAAAATTTTTCTCTATGTTCTTGGTACTGAAACGGGCCTAAAGTTAGAGGGGTCAAAAGTACTACCAGATTTAAACAAAGGTATTATTTTACTATATTTCATTAGATCAGGAAACACACCATAATCAATACAGTCATTAAATATTGTAGCAAGGTAAGGTGCGATTATATCAATAATGGATTTTATAACCTTAATTGAAATTCCCCATAAATCACCAGTTTTCTTGATATTAATGAGCTTGAAATTATCAATTCTGTCCTTTATATCAATATTTGTGAACTTAAAGTTAACACTGCTTTATTAACATGATCTTGCAGTAATGATTCGGCGACGGTAGGAGATGAAATTAAAGATTTTGTAGTAGAAGCTGGGATATCAGCAAAGTAGCGCTCAAAGTCACTGGCCACTTCTTGATGAGAAGTTATTATTCTATCATTGATTTTCAAAGTTAATTCAGCGTTGCTGTTTCTGACATTCCCAGTCTCCCTATTAATGCTATTCCAAGTCATTTTAATTTTGTCAGGTGCATTTTTTATAAGATTGCCTAAGTGCAATGACTTGGCCAATGTACAGACTTTTTTAAACAGCTTGGAATATTTACAAATATACTCATGAAATGACTTATTATGATTATATGATTTTTCATGATAAAGATCATATAATCTCTGCCAATTTTTGTGAATTCCAACAGTCGCCCATTCCAGATGTCTGAATCTCGCTTACAAAATTTTCAATATAAGCTTGCATATATACAAGTTCCGAACAACAACATCAGGACCGTCGGTCTACCGAGCAATATCACCCGCTCGGTGAAAGATCTTCCTTTCGTCGTTATATCTCCACAATCCTAAAACACATAATGATATTTGTTTCAGGGACCCATTTCAATAGCCGTAAGCCGTTTCGAGAAATGTAAAGGACCAAGAAGAAGAGATTGCTCCGACGTGAATCTTGATTTGAACAACGGTATCTTCATCACGTACGATCTCTTGGTCAAATCATACATCAAACTCACAACTGTGAGTAAATTCTTTTGGATAAATAGTCGATTAATGTGAACTCTTTTAAAAGTAATAAGGTGTTTTTGACTTTGACTATTTTAACCCCTGTGTTTTTGTGATACTACATTTATAGATAAGCAAAAGAAAAAAAAAACTGTATGCTACCATCCACTATGAAAGATTTGGTCAAAGGCTCAATCGTGTTGTGGATGTCTTAGTCTTGAAACAAAAACATCTGACTTTTTTATTGCTTAGATGGGTGGACGAGCTTACAGTCCACCAGGTGTTAAGTGGTTACTGGAACCCATAAACATCTACAACGTAAATGCGCCACCCACCTTGAGATATAAGTTCTAAGGTCTCAAGTATAGTTATAACGGCTGCCCCACCCTTCAAACCGGAACGCACTACTGTTTCACGGCAGAAATAGGTAGGGCGGTGGTACCTACCCGCGCGGACTTACAAGAGGTCCTACCACAAGTAACAATTAGGAGCGATGTCGGGAGGGTGACCCCTTTTGAAGAGCGCAGCTGTGCTTTTCGTGGGGTCGATTTCGTTGTGCGACTGCCGAAACCACTGGACGACGATAGTAAATCATGAACGAGGAGTGCAAACGGCAGAGATGCAAATGTGGAGATGGATGTGTGGAGTGACAAAAATGGATTAGATAAGGATTGAGTATATCAGAGGAAGTGTGAAAGTAGCCCATTGATTGATAAATTAAAGAGCGGATAGTTATCGTGGTATGGATATGTGATATGTAGAGAGGAGACGCATGTGACTAGGAGATGTATGAAAATGGTAGTGCAAGGTAAAGGGGGAAGAGACCGACCGAAGAAGACATAGATAGAATGTCTAAATTACGATATGAGAGAAAGAGGAGTGAGTGTTAAGATGACGGCTGATAGAAGAAAATGGAATAGAAAAATTCGCTGTGCCGACCCCATCTAGTGGGATAAGGTGGAAACAAAGAAGAAGACTGCCGGAATCACTGACCTAAATTAGTGTCTGCGATCTGGAGTTTATTCCTGCTCGAATAGGAAGTAGTAGAAGAAGTAGAAGAGTAAGAACTCGGAGCTCGTGCATTGCATGGGCCAGTAGCTCTGCCTTGTCATCGTCATCGTAAGCTGGGGGTGGACTTGAAGGGCCTACGAGGGTTGTATATTGGCATTGGTTTCCGATTTGAGAATTTTGTTAGAGACCAGTACACTCGGTGAGAGGACGAGAGTCCTTGTGTTATGGGCTTCGTCTAGGTGAGATTTGACGTCCCGCTGTAAACGACGCAGTCGGATCCGGTTTGATTGAATGAGACAATGATCGTTAGTCCGGATCGACGCTAACTCTTAGAAGTTTCTTGAGCTCGGGGAGAGGCTGATGGAAGAAGTCCTCCATATTGACTTAGTGTGACTAATTGCTTATCTCTGTGGACAACTGATTTGTCAGGATTTCTGTGGATTCGACGATGTCTTTCGTGGATGAAGAGGAATCCGGCTTTAAGAAAGGATTGTTGGGGAGGCTTCTGTCAAGCTGGTGCTCAGTTTCTGCCAATCCACCATGGTTCTCGTAAATGGGTCTGGTATGTAAGGACGACCGAACTACATGACGACAGGTCGGTGGTCGGAATTGACGTCTAAAATTACTTATATGGAACGCAAGCACAGAGTTGTGAACCTAAACAGTGCCAGATCGATCGTGCTCAGAAAACAAGCAATATGTTAGAGGAAGTGAGTCGGGGTCGGACGGCCAACGATTTAGAAGGCGGGATCATCAATAAGCGCGTCGAGGTGTAAGCGCCTTAACTTAGGATTTAAGATCGTTTTTAGGCAGTTCTACCTAGTGTGGTGACAATTTAAGTGTCGAGGGGTAGGCGCCTTAATTTAGGATTTAAGATCGTTTTTAGGCAGCTCTACCTAGTGTGGTGACAATTTAAGTGTCGAGGGGTAGGCGCCTTAACTTAGGATTTAAAATCGTTTTTAGGCAGTTCTACCTAGTGTGGTGACAATTTAAGTCACCTGGCAGAAGCACGGCGCTCCCTATGCCGAGCACTGCCTCGATGTTGCTAATCGAGAGGGATTTTCCGGGGGTATACACCGATCCGATAACTGAATGGTGTTCCGTCAGTGAAATATAGTAGACTAATGTCTCGATTTGAGAGAGCGAGGGGGGATGGAAAGGAACACAGTACAAGGCACGTCTATAGTAAATAAACACCTGATTGCTTCGCAGTAGAAATAGGTAAGATTTTAGTACCGATCCGTGTGGGTCCCAACAGGCTCTACCACGAGTAATTAACTGCCAATTACAACAACAATGTCCGTTGCTGTCGTAAGCAAATATACGCTACTGATTTTAATCGAAACTCTACACCTAATGTCTGTAGGTAACTGGTGATATTCGTTTACAATTTAAAAATCAGATTTCTGTGAATCTGGTCATTTTAAAATGGTTATTATTAACTTAACTGTCTTGGCGGGTACAAGAAAGATCTTAATTTGAGAAATTACTATATTCTAGGAAATTTATTTGGTTGAAAAAGTATTATTTTTCCTACAATAAATAAATAAACTATATTCTAGGGTCGGATTGTTGCAACTTCAAACGGCAAAGAAATGGTGAGATTTCAGATGAAGACGCCATGCGATCACTTTCTAGTTCAATCTTTATTCAAAATTTATTTAAATTTATCAAAAGAATGTGCCGTTAAAAAGGTTTGTATCTCTCTTATTTGGGCTTGGTATTAATTTAAATTCTTAAGACTTTTGACTTTATTTTGGAAATGATAAGCGGGGTATGTCGATGTTTCTCAACAATCGACGTACGGGCCTTAGAAAAGTCGGAACTGAACAGACAGGCTTGGGTAAGGTGAGAGTATCGCAACTATCCCCAGGATACCCGACTCGATCGGAGAATTGGGTCCTCCGTTACCGGATTGCTTTTTTTCACGGCGCCTGTAGAGTAGCTAAAACACATTCCTCACAAATCTCTAAACCAGCATACGGAAGGGCCTGGAACACTTAGTGGCCGAGGAATTGGGTGAAATCCCTATGGGTCACGGTTTGGCGGCAACTGGTTAGTGCGAAAAAAAACAATGCTCCCGGTCATGGTCCGCTACCTGCCTCTGCGAGAAAATGCATTCACAGAAGATGAACATAGATTGGCCGCCACGATTGGTCACTGGTGAGCGTCGCAGTCATGACGCTCGGCAGTCATCCTCACATCGTCGATCCGAAAAATACAGTAAAACCCTTGTATCGTTCAAGGCAAGACGTCCTAAAGGTGTTGGGACGTCTTGTGAGTCCGCAGGGGTTGGAACCACCTCACTGCCTAATTCTGCCGAAATACGTTTCAGTTCCAAAGGTAGGGCTACAGTTGTACTATAATAAATAACCTTGAAGACCTTAGAACTGATGTATCGAGGTCGGTGGCGGCATTTACCTTTTATTTTAATAAATAACACTCTAGTTTGCCTAGACCTTGTTCTGCCTTTCTCCCTTATTCCACTGAGTAGGATCGACGCAAAGTATACGTATTATAATACTTTTGTTGTTTCCATTAATGGGGAAATATATAATATTATGCTTGGATTACCCGAATCGTACAAGCACAATTTTCAGGAATAGGCACTAAGATATAGAATTATAGATAGATATAAATTATTATAGTTTTCAAATCCAATTTAGTGATAATCAAATATATCATTTCCTTTTAAGAAAAATAATAAATTACAGTTCTGTTAATGGTTGAATTATTAAAGACAAAGTAATGTGGATTTTTCTCTACTTTCTTTTAGGGACATTATGTTTTCAAAGTAAACCTTCAAGACCTATCGCAGAAGTACTTCGACGGAAAATATTTTTACGGGAACTGGACTTTTCGTTCAGTCTTCGCCGGCAGTGAATGCAATTTTATGTGTACAATTCTGGAAGTTTTAATGTCACCGAAAAAGGTCTAGTCTAAGTATATAAAAAAAATGTTTGATTAAAAATATTTTCAATGAGATGAAATGTTGTCACCATTCAATAAATGATTCGTTAAGCCACAAATATTTTTTTAAAAATAATTATTAATGATTTTCTGAAATAAAATAGCTAAAATTTACAGTACATACTTCAAACTGTTTAAGATTAATTTTATAACTACCACAAACATTATATAAGTTTTGTTCCAGTCATTATTTGGAATGCAACTTTTAAAACACTTCTAAAAATACTATAACATATAATACATACATTATTATACTTTTTTCGTCATTGATTGTTCTACTTAATGAATCCTAATAAATGTCATTTTAAAAAAATCGTATTATTTTTATCATTTGTTTTTTGTTTTGCTTCATTGATAGATTTTTTTTTATTTTTTTATTGCTTAGATGTGTGGACGAGCTCACAGCCCACCTGGTGTTAAGTGGTTACTGGAGCCCATAGACATCTACAACGTAAATGCGCCACACACCTTGAGATATAGTTCTAAGGTCTCAGTATTAGTCACAACGGCTGCCCCACCCTTCAAACCGAAACGCATTACTGCTTCACGGCAGAAATAGGCGGGGCGGTGGTACCTACCCGTGCGGACTCACAAGAGGTCCTACCACCAGTAAAATCGTCATAATTGTATCACAGTTGTCATTATATATCGACACAATCCGCCCATTATTATAATATATGTGCGCTGTGTACTATAGGTCTATGGCACTATATAGGTCTATGGCGCTGTGTGAAAGCACTGTGCGGGTGACAGTTTCAGTAACGTTTCGTTTCACTCTTGAAAGTTGCCTTAAAAAGTTGTATTAAAAAATTCAGCAAAGTGTTTAACGTAACGCCATAGATGTATTTAGTGATGGGATTTACTGCTACGATGGATAGTCGATGTTTTTTATAATAAAAAACGTATAGGTATTGTGCGTAGTACAATTGTTAATGTTAAAAGGTCTATAATTATATTTATATAGCACATAGGGTGCAATAACGTCACTTAAGCAAATTATGTAATTTTTCATGAGAAACGTTGGAAAATTCAACATCTTTTATATAACTCTCACATAGTTCTGCTAGAGCTGCTAGACTATAGAAATAAAAAAAACAAACGTGTGGCCCTCGGGAATTGCCGCGGTAAAGCTATTGCATAGCATTTTTTATCAACTTATGCAATTATAATTAGACAATGATAATTTAATATTAAAACAATAATAAAACAAGACCACGCTATATTCAACATTAATAAAAGCAACACATTAACTGTCCCCTTCGCACTCATAAGCTAGACCGCGCGAGAGAGAGATGGGCAGACTTTTCATGATGCGCATGCAGTGTGACGTCACGCCACGCGCTTATCACAAACACTACACAAGGGTAACGTGTGAATGTGTTGAACGCGAGCTACATGGTAGGCGGAGTGAGGGGTGTTAGGTTTTTTTCGTTACGGAATTTCATGATTCGGTCGCCACGCCGAAGGCCCACGATAAAAGCTATACAATAGATTAATAATATTTAAACTACAACTTTGAACTACATCAGTAGAAGCAAACATCTCTCTCGTCTCTCGTCTCACTAATAACTATTAAAAATGTATTTTCTCATACTCAGTTCAGTGTTAACAAAAATTGCATAAGTGACTTTATAGCACCGTATGTGCGATATATAGGATAAGGTTACTTAGATAAAGGTTGCTAAGAAGAAATACATTTAATCCGTCTAAAGTTATATCAGAGTCAGGAGCATCTGAATTGTCACTAAATTCATCATCTGAATCTGTGACGGATATTATTAACGATGAATTCATTATGTTGTCAATACGGATGTCACGATCCCAATTCGACATGATGTCCTTTTTTGTTTTATTCACGTCCTTCGACCAGTCTTCAGGCTGATCATTGTTGATGGCTTCGTAAATACCACTGAAACAATAATTTGCTTTTTAAACTATTTTTCATAACAACATGAATGAGAACTAGATTTATGCTGCGAGTACGGTCAGCGATAAAAATTAACTGCTAAACGTCACATCCCTTTTGTCAGGAGGAAATCGCCGGACTTCCACCCTCCCTGGGGATGGAGGGCGGAGCATGTCGTAGTCGATCTGACTAAAACCTCCTGTCGCACAACAACCCACGTCCGAACCTCGCATGAGACAGAACTGATGAAAAGTCAAAGGGGGGAAAGTGAAGCGCTTAGTGCGGAGCACATCTCTCCCATCACCCTCCCCCTCGGGACGCCGGACCGGCGGTCGTCGGCGCCACGACCACCAGCCCTCTCGGTCGGCAGGCTATCCGGAGCCCGCTTAGATGGCGCCGCTTAGAGTGGGTTATCCTACGGAATACCCCGCTGAGTCAGAACCAGCGTGGGTTGAGGATAGCCGGCCTTACATCACCCGGATGCTCTTACGTAAAACGCGTGCAGAGCAGTTTGCACGTCGTCTTCTTAGGCTCCCTTCGCCTGTCCCCAGACCGACATGTGAGGGGCCCCGAAACACTTAGAGGGCTTGGGTGAGATCCCCCTCCCTGGCCCCCGCTCGACGGCGGCGGGTTTTTGCGTCTTTCACGCGCCCCGCCGCCTCTTTCTGCGAGATGGTGCACTCGCAGAAGCCTCCACGAGCATCGCCTTCCACGACTCGTCGTCGCCGAGCATCGATGCCACAACACTCGGCAACGACAAGTCGTTTCCTATTTTTGCGACGAGGTTGTTTTTGCTTTGAGGTGTGCAAGTGCGGTTCATTATTGTTATATTTTTTAATGCTTACAATGTTGAACAAGCTCACGACCTACGTGATATGGTTATCGGAGCCCACGGAGATCAACGAAGTAAATGCCGTCATCCCCTGGCTTTTGACTTGATCTTTGAGTCTCCGTCATATACATAGTACAGCGGCTGCCCTAACCCACAATTTGAACCGGAGCGTCTTACTGCTTCACGGCAGAAATAGGTAGGATGGTGATACCTAGCCGTGCATACTCACAAGACAACCTATCACCACAATAATTACGCAAATTATAATTTTTGTAGATTTTATTTTCATTACACTATTTTATTCTTTCATTTTAAAGAATCTGAGAATAAAATCGACTTCAAAGTCATTCATAATTTAAGTACAAATTTGATCGGGAAAAGCGGTACGGGCCTGCAAAATTCGAACACCGGCGAAGTCGCATTTCTCGATACAAATTCAAGCGTCCTTTAAGTCACGACGACTTCAAATCGTTTTATAAATATAAGGAAAAAAAAAACTCGTCTTTTTGCCGTCTGTCTTCTCTTGTTTTTGTTTTATGATTTTTGTTATTTTGAATAATTACATATTAAATCAATCAATTACACAAAGTAGTTAGTTAACATGTTCTTAATATTCATTTGTATTTTTTCACGAAATGGAGAATTACGTTAGATTTTCTTTAAATGAAGATTCGTATCTTGTAGGATACAAGGTACGCTTAAGGTTTTCAAAATATGCCGTAGGCACGATTAAGCTTTAATCCAAGTTTTTAATTTTTTTATTATGGAAGTCACTGTAATGATAATAGCAATACCATTAAGATCACTTTTATTTTTTGTAAAAATTGGATCGTAGGTATGGTATTCTGTTGAAAAATAATTTTAACACGGTATATATGTAATAACCCCAACTACGAGTATTTACTCTATATACTTAGTCTGGCCATAAATACTGTTACAATTAAAAATAAACAAAATATTACATTTGAATTTGGAATCTGTCATTTTTATATGATTGCTCATTGAGTTTTCTCATTTTGGCGCCAATACATTGTACAATATTTTACGATATTAAAATGGAGTGGGGTGATAAAGAGAACCGAATCGCTGTGATTGCATTACACAAAGTAGGCATGGAGCCAGATGCAATTTTTAAAACTCTCCATACGCTTGGTATTAGTAAAATGTTTGTGTACTGGGCTATTAATAGGTGCAATGAGACATCCTCTTTTTGTGACAGAAAAAGATCTGGCCGTCCACGTAGTGTTCGTACGAAAAAGGTGGTCAAAGCAGTAAGGGAAAGAATTCGAAGAAATCCTATCCGAAAGCAAAAGATTTTATCTCGGGAGATGAAGATAGCACCTAGAACCATGTCGCGTATTTTAAAAGATGACTTAGGACTTGCAGCCTATAAGAGACGTACTGGTCATTTCTTAACTGATAATTTAAAAGAGAATAGGGTGGTAAAATCGAAACAACTACTGAAGCGGTACGCAAAGGGAGTTCATAGAAAAATTTTGTTTACGGATGAGAAAAATTTTACAATTGAGCAACATTTTAACAAACAAAATGACCGTTTTTATGATCAAAGCTCTAAGCAAGCTTCCCAATTAGTCGACAGAGTGCAACGTGGGCACTATACGACTTCAGTGATGGTTTGGTGGGGTATTAGCTATGAAGGAGTGACTGGGCCATACTTTTGTGAATAGGGTATCAAAACGTCGGCACAAGTGTATCAAGATACCATTATTGAGAAGGTAGTGAAGCCCCATAACAACACCATGTTCAATAATCAAGAATGGTCCTTCCAGCAAGACTCGGCGCCAGGTCATAAAGCTCGGTCTACGCATTCTTGGTTGGAAACGAGCGTTTCGGACTTCATCAGAGATGAAGACTGGCCGTCGTCTAGTCCCGATCTTAATCCGCTGGATTATGATTTATGGTCAGTGTTAGAGAGTACGGCTTGCTCTAAGCGCCATGATAATTTGGAGTCCCTAAAACAATCCGTACGATTGGCAGTGAAAAAATTTCCCATGGAAAGAGTGCGTGCTTCTATTGATAACTGGCCTCAGCGTTTAAAGGACTCTATTGCAGTCAACGGAGACCACTTCGAATGAGCTTTTTATACTTTAAATTGTTTTATATTTATGTATTAAACTAACACACTGTAAAAGTAATAAATGTTATTTGCAATAGATTTTTTTTTGTTTTCCTTTGTAACAGTATTTATGGTCAGACTAAGTATATGTCGGCGCAAATATCACGATTCAGCTACTCGTTCGTGTTAGCAACTTCGTCAGGTTTGAGCCCCGTGAGCTCACCTACTAGATAAGGTTACGCTGATATAGCCTCTCAAGGCTATTAGCTTAGATAGGAAAAAATATATATTTTAATGATACCAAAACCAGCCAGATACATATATAGGTAGTATAGCCAAAGAGATTTTGTTACAAGTTCATACATACTATAATACCAAAATACTTTTT